CATTATCTAGTTCTTCGGGAAATTGTCAGAACACCTTGTCATTTGGAGCTACCACACTCTAGGAACCATACATAGTTCCATTGCTTACTCTGAGTTCTTGAATGTGAGTATCCTTTTCTGATAGGCAACTTTCCTGAACATTTAAGAGTATTGCAATGTCTGAGATATGTACTGTTGTGGAATATGCGTTGAAGATGTTACATTAGTTTATATTGTGGAATATTTGTTTAATGATGCAAAGATGTGTTGCTTACTTTTATGTTACATTTGTTTTACTCTGAAGCCATGTGACTTTGCCTGATTGGTAATAAAGATCTGAATGTTGTTTAGCTAGGCAGGAGAGGGATAGGCAGGGCTTTAAGGCAGAGAAAATAAATAGAGAGAAAGAAAGAGAACCAGTGGAGGGAAGAAGCAAAGGAGAACTGAGAAAAGGAGAAGTTAACAATGCAAAGGGCCAGCTACCCAACAACACAGCCAGATAAGGAAAAGGAGAGAAAAAGATAAAAGCCCAAAGGCAAAAAGTAGACAGGATATAGAAACAAGCCAAGACAAAGCCAGGCATTTATAAGCCTCTGTGTGTTTGTTTGGGAGCTGGGTGGTGATTTCCCAAGCAAAGGGGGGGGGGGGGGGGGACGGGACGACCCACAGCTTCTTGACAGCCACTTTTTTTTTTTTTGGTTAGGCTTTGTTTGCTGGAAGTGAGTGTCTCCTTTAAAAGAAGGCTTCCGACTCATTATTAGCAAAAATACTGGCCTCGAACTCACAGACATCCACCTACTTCTTCCACCTAAGCACTGGGATTAAAGGCGTGCACCACCACCACCTGGCAGGACCCTCGTTGTAATGTCTTTTTTAAATGCAGACTGTATTGTAACAAAAAGCTAACGAGGTATGGCTGTGGATCAGCGTGCGGGCTACTGGGGAGGAACAATTACATAGGGCCAAGGAGAGATTTTGGAAGGTGATGCTAATTACTGGGGGCCTGAAGAGAGGAGAGGCTTCACGTACATGTGTGTAATGTGTAAATTCATCAAGTTTTACATTTACATATTTAATACCATGCCTCAGTGAAACTGGCAGCTCTAGGCATGATTTAATAGTGCTCTTAATAGAAATTATTGAAACATAAATCACAGAAAAAAAATGAAAGGAAAATATTCATGCTTTCTTTTCAGTTATGTTTTCCCTAATCAGGCTCCTGAAATAAAACAAAGTTTTCTTATGAAACCATCATGCAGGTTAAAGTTCAAAGACATAAAAAAAAAAAATCAAACCCTAGATACACACCTTCTTACTGTTAAAACTTGAAAAAATAAAAAGTTTGAAGTGCTTCCCAGTTTCCCATCTCACTCACATTACATATAGCCAACAGCGTGCCTGATCTTGGGTGGAGTTTTCAGAGAGTGGAGATCGGTTGTCTGTTTTAAGAATGAACATTAGTCATCTCTTCAAAAGTTAAAGTAATTCAACATTAAGTCTAGAGTGTCTCTTGGTTTTCAAAAGGCCTGACAAATTAATAAAACACCAAAGATAATCACACTTGTCCCCTACCCACATTTAGAAGGCAGTTATCCTGCATGTAATTTAACTCCCAGAACCCTGTAGTTGTTATTGCCAAATACAGTATGTACCAGAACCTCTGAGGTAGAAAGTCATGGATATACAGAAAGATAGCCGATGGAGTCTTTATGCTCTTTACCAGAGTGCTATTCCCATCAGCTGCATGCTTACTAAACTGTCAACAAGAAGTTAAATTTATTGTTGTGCCTTCAACATGGCAAACCACTTCTCTTCCCTCATCCAGTGCGTATTTGAGACACTGGTACAACCTTGAAAAGCAAAGCATTTTTAATGCTGGGCTCCTTTAACTGCTTTTGCTATTTCCTACTTACAATGGTCAAATTCTTGCTATGTACACACAATTCCTTGACTTGTACAAACAAGCTAGACCCGGAAATTGTACAGAGCTCTGTAACTGCATGTAGGCATCCGTCCTGAAGTTATAAAAGCATCAAACACTGATTAATCAATGTCTAGCAGCTCCAATTATCATCTTTTTCTGTCATTAAATCCTTGTGTAAATAGGGTTGTAGTCTAGTTTTGGAAACCTCTGATGAGCCCCTGCTGCTCATATTTCATTTAAGTCAAGGTCAAGGTCAAACCACAGCTGTCTGCATAGGAGGCCAAGTACTCCACTAGCACCTTTTTGGACATCAGCGCACTTGCCAAGCCTTACTTTGGCTGCCATCTGCTGTGGCCATTCAGCACACCAGCTTTGAATGAGAAACACTCCCAAGCAGAATTAATTTATCCATACAGGATAATTTGCCTTTTAGGTTTGGCGAGAACAAGGAGACTGAGACTCTTTGTTTTAAAGCTCTGTGTCCAGAACCTTCATGTCACATCTCACATCTTTTCTAAGGCCTCCCAATTCTCTTTTGAAGACCCAGTATTAATCTCTCTCTGCAGAATCACTTCTGGTAGACAGCGCTGCTCTAAATTCAGGTCAAACCCTCATCATCATACTTTAAGAATAATGCACAAAGCTGTGGGTAGTGGCGCACACCTTTAATCCCAGCCCTTGGAAGGCAGAGGCAAGCAGATCTCTGTGAGTTCAAAGCCAGCCTGGTCTACACAGTGAGTTGCAGGACAGCCAAAGGCTATGTAGAAACCTTGTCTCAAAAAAACAAAACAAGATTAAGAAAATACAAAATGGAACAATTAAAAGCCTACTGTACTTCTACAAATTAAAACTATGATCCAATATAAATCTGAACAAACTGCCAAGATCAAATTTTCTGTGTATAAGCTTAAAGCCTGAGACCATTTCTGATCACCTAAAGCGTGTGTATACATGGTTATCCTTTCATGTGTACATAGTCATCACATGTACATGGTGATCACATATACATGGTTATCCTTTTGTGTGCACATGGCCATTCTTTTTCATTTTTGTCTTAGCAAATTGGATATATGCGGCATACTTTTTAATTATTTTGTTTTGCAGTATTGGGACTTTAACCCAGGACCTTGACATGTTAGGCAAGCATTCTATCACCAAGCTGTAACCTCAGCCTATAGACCAAATTCTCCAGTAGTTCATTGCTTAGAACACAGGCCTTTCCCTTTCTGTGTCTATGGCCTTTTTATCCTTTCTCAACAGAACTTGTTTTTATAATTTATGAGAATGGCAATCCTGGTCTAGTATGACGGCATGGACCTGTACTACTAGCTCCTTGGGATACTAAAGATCAAAAGTTCAGGAATTGAGGCTGCCTTAGGCAAAACAGCACGAGAACCCATCTCAAGAGAAGACGGGTCCAGCGGTAAAATAACTGCTGGACTGGCCAAACATATGGACCTGAGTTGGACTCCCCAAAGGCCAGAATGCTGTTCTTGTAAGCCCAGTGCCGGGGAGACAGAGACTGAAGACCTCAGCGTAGTAAGAAGCTCTAACTCAATGAGATTAAGTCATTGGAAGTCCTCAACTACTGACCTCAGACAGATGCCCACACGCGTGCATGCACAGATAAACACATATACAGGTAGAGTGGGGTGGGAGGATAGGGAAATCACATGGACACTAAACTGGCCTATGTGTTTTCAAACTTAAAAGTTACCATATTGCCCCGGGGTTAAAACAAGTCAGCCAACAAGGAGACGTTTTCCCTGTATGGGAGGAACCATTAGAAATAGAGGGAAAACATTATCCCACTGCTAGTAACTATTTTTATATACTTTACTATATCGCAAACCTTTGTCCCTTGTAATTTTCCCCCTGCTCCACTTGCCTTTAGCTTTTGAAGCCTTGAAGCCTTTTCTTAAGTACTTTACCCATAAAATTCTTCCTTCCCTACAAAGCTTAGACAGAGACAGCTAACCCCTTTGGCCCTAGCTTTTCTCTGCATGCACATCCAGATCCCACCACCTTTTCACATTAAATCTCCCCCTTGAAGCTTCAGTAAGCGTGGCAGAGGAACCAGCAGCCACTACTGAGCCAATCTCTAATATCCAAGCCTGACTGAGGGTAGAGCTTTCAGATGAACTGTATGGTTTTTGCATCTCACCTGTAGTCTGAACCTTTGGTTTTGATGGAGATGCTAAATGCCTTCTGCCCTAAAACGTCCTTGGATGTAAACAAACAGAAACGAAGCCCTCAACACAGACCTCGTGAGGAATCTAAAATGCACATGTGAGTAAAGGAAACCAGTGAAACTGTTTACTGTGCATGCTTCCTTAATCAGATTGTGGCTCTGACCTCCAACAGCAATAGCATATATCACAAGCATCTAAGCATTAGTCTACGCAGAGTAAGTTTAGTATCTCCTAAGTACCTGTCACTGCACTTTTAAACCAGGGTGGAGGCTGCAGTACGAAAGGCTTCTCTAAAACCTTAACACAGCTTCAGAATGTATTTGCCACCACACAAAGTTTTACAACCATTATTGTGCAATCTCTTTTGCTTACTATGTCAAGGCTTTCTTGCTTTGCTGCAAATGAAGGCAAAAAGGTTCTCAGCTCACAGAGGTACCAACAATGTTATATGGTGACAATACTCTAATTCTAGAAGGCTTCTGTGAAATTGAATTCATGAATCATATTTAGTAGACCTATCTTATTATGGTGTTGCAACCAATTTAATGCCTAGATATCCTACTTTTAGGGAGCCTAGAAAGTCTACTTTCCTGAAACATATACTAAAAATTAATAAATAAAAACCTCAAGGAAAGCTATTCCTTCATCATTAAAATTAATTTAAACACTATACAGTCTATTAGGCATGGTGGTGCAGGCCTGAAATCCCAGCCCTCCTGGAAGTGTTAAGAGGATCACAGGTTTAAGACAAGCCCTAGAAATGTAAGCAGCTCAAAAACCCTATCTGAAAACTCCCAGGGGACACAATGTACTTTAGTGGTAGTAAAACTGCCAAACAAGTGCAAACACCTAATTCCCAGTAACCAACCCCCAATACTATTGCTGATGCGTACACTAAAACATGTTTACATCACTGAAATGCTCACTGGGAGTCTCCTATTTCAAAACAGTTTATTTCAAATTCCACTGAGGGTTTTTAAAGTTCTTCAGGATAAAGTCATTCTTTGTGGAAAAAATATATGATTTTTTTTTCTATTACAAAAACAAAAATGTAATTCACCAGTCCATTGATGTCAACAAATTTAGTTCACTGTTAGGTGCTCCCAATACACATACAAAAAGCTGCAACTGTCAGTCAAAATGAATCCATAAAGACAGTTTGTCTAATCTAACTCTTTTCTTGTATTTTCTGAAGAAGATACTCCATTTGCAAATTCAAGTTTGGCTGGCCCTTTTTAGTCTTTCTGCTCAGAACTTTGAAAGCTTCCATTTTTTTCTTTTTGTAAAGTCGTTGAGCTTCTTCTCTTTCTTGCTTTCGCATTTCAAATTCCTGCAGTTATAAACAATTATAACGTTCATTAGTCACAAACAGAAAGTACAGGTCTGACTTGTTCTGAAATTGCTATAACAATGCAACCCCATTGACCTTCGTCTTTTACATTGTGTAAAATGTGAACAGTTTTCCAAAACTGCAGCTGTGTCCTCTTTCTTTCGTACTCTACTGATATAAGGAATACAAAAGAGTATCAGTCATGGCAGCATCTCATGCATTGATACCTAAGTTTTAAAAAAAGGCAAATATTTATGTAACAATTTCACTGTTTAAACTCACTAAAGAATTAGGGATCTTTACAAAAGATGTCTAATATTCCATTTAACAGTAAAAAGTTCATTTCTAGAAAACTGTATCTTATATTTATTTATTGTTCTTGTCATTTAGCTAATTTATAAAGTTAATTAATTTAGAAAATGGTGGCTACCTACTTACTCTGAGTGCAAATCACTCCATTATACATCATGAGTTTCACCATGTAAGGATGATCATGGTCATTTGTTGCTATGACAGAAACTCAAATCTAAGTGTAGAGGACTATAATTCCCAATGATAAATCCATTATCAAACAAGCACTGTGACATTCTCTCTAATTTAAATGTAACAGCTGAAGAACTTGTAGGTGGTGTGCTCTTCATGTCCAGTCCCAGGAGCCTCAAAATGATATATGGGATTAGCATGGACCACTGCCCACTACTTAGCCAATTCTTAACAATTTTGATCTCATAGGTAATGTCACTAGATTTTGTATTAACATTAAAGATCATCTCTTCATGTCATCAGTTGAAGAATAGTCAGAAGCATTTTATATATTAAACTGTGAATTTAAAATATGAACTACTTATATTCTAATGTGTATAAACCGCAATTATATCAGTACTGCCTATGGGGATACTTTGATGAGACACTGGCATGTTACTTAAACTTTAGTACAAAACAAACCAACAAAAACCTAAAAGCCTGAACTTTCAGACTAACCATTACTACCCCACACAGACGCAGTTTATCAAGGGTGAAGGGAGATCTTGAGGAAATGTTTAAGCATGGAAGACAGCTTTGCTTCTGAGTACTTTATTCCAGTATTTACTTCCCCTCTGGCTTTTATAGCAGTGTAAAATTAAGAAAATAATCAATATTTCTTTTAGGTCTTGGGTCCTCAAACATCAGATTATTTCAAGGAACTTGTTAAAGATCTAAGGTCCTAGGCTGTAGTCTGAGGATCATTATCACAGATGCAAGATGCTCATATTATTAACTGACAAGCATTTTTTTGAATCGAATATTATCACTTACCTACTAGCATTGTCTGAGCCAATCAAAGACTTACAACATCATATAATTCCACAAGTCTGCTGGATAATCTATAAAGCATTTACGCAGACAATATTATGTGCCCAATACTAAGAAGCATAGCTTGTACATGTTAAAGATAAATAAAAATAAACCTAAATAATTAAAAAGTAGAACTTACAAATTTCTTAGCAGCACGCTTTGCTTGTACCCGCTCATACTCTTCTTGTGCCTTTTGGTTTGAAGTCTTCTTTTTCTTTTTCTTTGGACTAGTAACAGAACTTACAAGAGAAATTAAGACATGCAAGGTAAATTACAAATGATTTAGAGAAAATCATGCAACTGTGTCAAATACAGTATTTATGTACAAAAACATCACTAACACAAACTGAGGGAAGCATGAAGGGAAAGAATGACAAAAAATAGGAAAATGCCCATATAATACATTAAAACCATAGTTACAATTACAGATTAAAATATGGTAAATGGATATTTTTGGAGAAGTATATATTAACCAGGGAAAGCACAGTAGGTTTTGTTGGATATTAAAATGGTAAAAAACAGATGGAAAAGGAATTGACCAATGTAACAAGTTGTGCTGTAAATATCTTTAATCTGAGTTCTTTGTTCACCTTTTCTCTGTCGACCTCTTACCACTAACCATCAGTCCTCAGACAGGGTCTTCATTTACAAGTCTCCTACCTTGAAGCATTCTGAGATCTTTGAAATGTAACAGTTATGATGCAGCTTATTATCTGGCTTAATAACCTTCCTGTCCGCTATGCTTCAACTCTCATGTCATAACTACAATGCATTTCAGCAGCACCCTAGTTAAAAACACATATACTGTCCATTACCAAAGTCTATGTGCTCTTCAGCTAGTCTTGTTTCTTAACTTTCCATATCAAATTTCTACACAAAGAATAAACCAGCCATCTACTTCCCATTCATTCCTTAATTCTCAGAGATGATTTCTGTTCCACCACTCCAACCTGTTGTTACAAAGACAGTACTGATATCCTAGCCCAACTATTATAGGTTTTTCGCTTTCTTCTATTCTCTACTTCTGAAAATATCAGTCAGAACTGGGAGTATCTGCATGCATGTGAGTGTTCTTGCGGGTTTGGGCATGCGTGTACAGACATGTGTGGAGACTAGGGGATTGCTCACTACCTTACTTGAGACAAGATCTCTCAATGAACTAAGGGGCTGGCCAACGAGTTCCAAGGATCCAACTGTCTCATCTACTAAAAGCCCACTGAAACAAAACACAACAAACCCCCAAGACTCTTACTGTCTTTATCCCCAAATATATACTTTGCTGTTATTTACAACACAAACAATGCTCAATTTTATTATTTTTAAAATTTGAGAATTATATACCATCATATAATGTATTTTTGAACAAATCTACCCAATATTTTTTCTTCTCCAATTCCTTCCTTATCCTCTACACGTTTCCTTCCTAACTTTTACATGCTTCTTTTGTTATTTTTATTAAACTCACTGAGTCCACTTATTGCTGCCAGTAAGTGCATACACATCGGGTATGGGGCCATCTACTGGAGTATGGGTACGTCTCAGACCTGCATCCCCAAAGACTGACTCTCCTCAACTCCCCATCAGTCATCAGTTGCTGAGATCTCCTAAGCTAGGACTTTGTGACGCCCTCCCCAGTCCATGATGGAATTCTGTCTGGTTTAATCTTGCATTATGTCTTATGCATGCAATCATTGTCCCAGTTTTGAAAGACAAAATTTTAATTAAAAAAAAAAAAAAAACGTTAGCCAGGTGGTGGTGGCGCACGCCTTTAATCCCAGCACTCGGGAGGCAGAGGCAGGCGGATCTCTGTGAGTTCGAGACCAGCCTGGTCTACAAGAGCTAGTTCCAGGACAGGCTCCAAAACCACAGAGAAACCCTGTCTCGAAAAACCAAAAAAAAAAAAAAAAAAAAGTTAAGATCCAAAGTGACTTCTGGCTTCTTTGCTAGTTTACATGTTAATGGTTTTTTTTTTTTTGTTTGTTTGTTTTTTATTTAGTTTTTCGAGACAAGGTTTCTCTGTAGCTTTGGTGCCTGTCCTGGAACCAGGCTGGCCTTGAACTCCCAGAGATCCGCCTGCCTCTGCCTTTGGAGTGCTGGGATTAAAGGTGTGCGCCACCCTGTTAATGTATCTTTGACTAAATTATATGATGACAAATTTTCCCAAGCTAGCTCTTATTTAAAAAAAAAAAAGCAATAGAGAGGGCTTTGTTCTAAGACAGGATCTTATACAGTAGTGTAATCTGGTCTGAAACTATTGTCCAGCTTAGCATCAAACTGTGGCAAACTGTGGTTAGGACTCCTTAGTACAGAGAATAACAGGGATGAGACCACACAGCCACGAAACCATGTATGTGTTCAGCACATTTCAACATTTTTGTAGTTTTATGAGACAGACTCTCACTATGTAGTCCAGGCTAGCGTTGAATTAATAACAATCCTCCCACTTCAGCCTTCTGAGAGGATTACAGGCATGTAGAACTACGCCTTGCTTGATTTTTGTTTACTACAACCTATTTCCTGTACCCTTTACAGAAAATATGGATAATATCAGTAAGCACTCATAAACACCAAGTATCCCACGTTTTAAAAGCTTGATATAAATTCAGTCATCAAAATGTCATTAAACTGAGATGGCAATCCACTTTGAGGCTGTGCAACATGGTATACATGGTGGCTCAAGTACTTTGACTTTGTCCTTCCCATAACAGAGGACACTGGTGTACCAGCGTGCAAAGTCTGGCTCCATAACATAAAGTGTCACCAACTACACATGCATTCTCTCTCTAGAAAGTCATTACTGTCACCCATGCTGGCCTGTAGGTGGAATCCTGCCTCAGCTTCGCAAATGTTGGCCTTACAGACATATAACACCAAGCCTGGCCTAAAAAAATTTAAAACACACACACAAATATATTTATTAAAAACTGGGCTTAATTACTGTCCAATGAAGTTACTTGTTCTTCAGAGGCAGGAGTTCAAAACTCAGATGTCTTAATACTGACTTCACATTCTTGCACCTACATTCAACTACCCTGTTTCAGTCATTTTACACTAAAAAAATGTGAAAATATTAGAACGTGACTTGGAAAATATGTTAGAAAAACTTCTAATTCTTACCCAAATTGCTCTATATCTTCTATAAAACATAATTTAAAGAGTACATACTTTAGTGCAGACAGCTGTTCCGGCTGCGGAGGGCAGTCACTAGACTGCTCTTCAGACACAGGCCCCTCGGGGTTGGTGTTGCAGTCCCTGTCCTCAGGCACGGGCTCCTCAGCCTGTTCTTCTGACCTGGGCAGGCCAGCCTTTCTCTGCTGTTTCCTGAGTCTTTCTTCTTCGGCTAAGTAGAGGTGTTTCAGATGCTCTGGGTAACGATCGACGAACTGCGAGTCCTGGGACGCTGGCGCCTTCTTTACCTTCCAGAGCAACTTCTTGTAACTCTGCTGGATCTTCAGTTTCCTCCGGAATGCGAAACCTTGTCCTAACATTGGAGGATTTCAGTTACCATCACTTTCGCAGAAAGTGAAAAATAACGTTACTAGAAATGAAGGTTTTTGGGGTTGTTTTCACATTATATCCACATGATAGAATTAGTTTTGCTTTAAAGATTGGGTTACTCAACACATTTAATGTTGCACTTGTACTGAGGAGCAAGTTAGTCCTCTGCCTAAATATAAGGCTAATAATTGTCAAATACCACACTCACACAAACGTCAAAATAAAATTAAAGAGTAAACTAAACTCTACAGCTCAACTTGAATTTATATCCACAAATCAAAATTTCTTTAATTCATCTAAAACATCACCTGGGGGTCGTCAGGTGGGGGAAATCTTAATTTTCCACTGGAGAAACTAATCTATTTTCCAAAATAAGACACGACACCACAAAAGGGGATAAGGTACAACTTTCGAAGCACCTGCCAGTTTTTATTAGCTCGCACAAAATATTTAACCATTTGAAATGAGGGTTACTGCGGTGTTTTGTAATTACCAAGGCTTTGGGAGGGTGTATCTTTAACCCCATCATCTTCCCCTCCTTCCTTTGCTGTAAAACAGTTGCAAAACTGTTTTTTAGAGTAAATCCACAAGCGGACCCCTAGACGCTCCGGATCGACGACATATGACTTAAACTGACAGCGCCGTCCCGTCCTCCCATGCTAAGGACAGAGACGCTAAGGGGCTCGGCGGGCTTAGGAATGGCCTCCCGGGTCTCAACACAGACCCCGTCTCCATCCTAAAGCCTTTCTGCAGGCTGAGCCGCCCCACGCACCCTCGGCTTCCCCCCACCGCTGTCTTCTCCACATACCCTCGCGGATACTCCCGGGGAAGGCTTGCTGGTGGCTGGGCCGCCTGGTCCTGCGTTTCCCAGTCTGGCTCTTGAATCCGAGCGGACGCGTTTCCTCCCCGCGCGCCGCCGACCCTCCCGTCCGCCACCTCGAAGACGGCGGCCTCCCCGGCGCCATCTCGCACCACCCGGGTTGTGCCGGCAGAGCCACCACGGACGCCGGCATAACACGTCACCAGGCCGAAGCAATCGACCGCGCGACGAGCTCACGCTCGGAGCTCCACCGCTTCGGCCTGGGGGCGGCTTCGGGAAGAGAGGCGCCGCGCGGCCCTGTTGGCGCCACCTACAGCCCTGGAGGGCGCGCGTCATGGCGGCGCTCGGCTCGCTCCCCGCGACCCCGGATTTGCCCACGCTGCACGCCAGGTTACAGGACTTGCTGCGCTTCCTACGGGGCGCCCTGGCCATTTCCAGCGCGCACACGGTGGATTTCTACACCGAGTCCGTGTGGCGGGAGCTGGTCGACCTGCCCCCGGAGAGCGTGCTGGCGGCGCTGAGGGGCCCGGCGGCCGAGCCCGAGCCCGAGCCCGAGCCGCGGGAGGAGGAGGCGGGACCAGGTGACTTGCGGGGCGGCGGCGGGGCGGGAGGGGACGGGGCGGGGCGGATGGACTGCGCGCCCCTCCTTGCGCCCCCTGGTGGTGGAACTCGGCGGAAGTGGCAGGGACTTGTGTGGCGTCCGTGAGACCCGAATGGAGGGGATCTGAATAGTGAGGGTTTGTGAGGTGCCCTCGTTTCATCTTTGGGTGTTGGTATATTTCCCCAATTTAAGGAAACCAAGGAGCAGGGAAGAGGCATTCGTTCCCGGAATAATTCAACATTTGGGAACTATAAGAAGGTTATTTGAGGGCAAGTACAGTATCGACGAATAGAGAGTCGAGAGGCTGTTTCTCAGTCAGTCCCAGGAAGATTGTAGCTTGGATTTGGACGGTGATAGTGAAGTCTTGAATACTCTCTAGTCCGTTTTGAAAGCATGTATTTTCAGTATGCTGTGTGCCTTGAGGTTTTTCTAGGCTCTGGAGTTTCCAAACTTCAGGAATCTTAGATTCTATGAAGTGTCTCTTTTGAAATAACAGCAGCTACTGGAACATCTGCTGCTTGCTTCCGAGTTTCCAGTCGTGGAGTGTCCTTAGTGAACTTCGTCCCTGAAGCATCCTGAAAATGCAGCGTGCACGGGGGTGGGAGAATATAATGAAACTTAGTAAATTTTGGTTTTTTTCAAGTCGTCCGTGAACCGTTGTGGAGAGCAGGGACCATATTTGTCTTAAGCATGGATGGGCTCCAACACGCGGAAAGTTTCTTGCTGTGCATCAAGGGCTCCGTAAATATTGGTGAACGAATGAATCATGTTGGCTTTCAGAAGAAAATGCAAAGAAAAATGATGATGACCAAGTGCAGAGCGAAGCTTTAATGTGTGGTTAACTGGGTCTTCCCTCGATGAGATTACATTATTTTGCATATACTAATAACTGGATTCATTGGTGTGTGTTGTATGTCCTGCAGTTTGCTTTTGCTAGGTGGAAATATATATATATATATATATATATATATATATATATATATATATATATATATTTCTTCTTTCTTTCTCTTAGCTCTCTCTCTCTCTCTGTGTGTGTGTGTGTGTGTGTCTAGTTGTTTTCATTTCTCAGATACGTTTTCAACATTATTAATCCTTTTTAACACATTAAGGAGGTTTTTGTTATGATTTTGACAGTTTTATGCCTGTAGGTAATGTATTTTAATCCTATTCTCCCATCATTACCTTATCTTATTCCCCCCTCCTGCTTTAACTCTTCACTTTCTTCTTTGTAATTAGCCTCCTCTCTAATGTCTGTGTATGCATGTGTGTGTGCATGTCAGTGAGTGGCCCACTGAGTTCAATTAGGGTTGCTTGTATGAGTATGGCTGTGGACTTATTTACTAGAGCGTGGACAATTTGCCAGTGGCTGTACCACTGAAGAAAATGTGTCCTCCTCTCCCAGCACCATCAACTAGCAATAGCTACTTGGGGGAATTTTATTTTTACAACATAAAAGTTGTTATATTGTTCTCCAGTTAATTTCCAAATTCTATAAAATACAATTCTTATTCTTTATTCTAACATTCAAGCTGTTCCTCACTGCAAAAAAAATTATAGCATGTGTTTTGCATGCTTATGTGGTATATGGGCATGTGTGTATGTACATTTTTGTGAGGGTTGCACCTGCATGTTTTTGCACATGTGTGTTATGACCTGAGACTGAAGTCCAGTGTCTTCCCTGTTACTCCACACATAATACAGTGAGATAGGATCTCATGTTGAACTTGGAGCTTGTCATTTTGGCTATTCTAACCAGCTAGCTTCTCCATGGAGTCTCTGTTCTCTCCCTCCCACCAACTGGAATAAGAGGGAGGTGCTGACTAAGTTTTGTCAACTAGATACAAGCTAGAATGACTTGAGAGGAGGAAACCTTAATTGAGAAGGTGCTCCCATCAGACTGGCCCGTAGACAAGTCTGTGTGTGCGCCGGGGGGGGGGGGGGGGGGGGGGGTTCTTTATTTAATAATGGGAGAGCCCAGCCCATTGTGGTAATGCTACCCTTGGCCAGGTAGGTGGCCCTGGGTTGTATAAAAAGCAGGCTGAGAGAGCCGTGGAGAAGCAGCCAGTAAGCTGTGTTTCTCTATCTTTGGTCTCGGCTTCAGGTTTTGCCCCAGGGACCTGCCCTGCTAGAGTTCCTGCCTTGGTTTCCCTCAGTATTAGACTGTAATTGGGATATGTAAGCCAAATAAACTCTTTCTTCCCAAGATGCTCTTGGTTGTGGTCTTTATCCCAGCAGCAGAGCATAAGCTAGGACAGGAGGCTGCTGGACTTTTGCCTTCACATGAGTTTTGGGCAGTGGTTCTCAACCTGTGGGTTACAACCCTTTCAGAAGTCAAACAAGCATTTCACAGGGGTTGCTTAAGACCATCAGAAAATACAGATATTTACGTTACAATTTATAACAATAGCTAAATTACAGTTATGAGGTAGCAAAAAAAAATAAGTTTTTGGTTGGGGGTCACTACAATGTGAAAAACGGCATTAAAGAGTCACAGCATTAGGAAGGTTGAGATCCACTGGTTTGGGGGATCCTAACTTTAATATTTATGGTTATGTGGCAAGCTTCTTACCTGTTGAACCTGCTCTCCAGCCCTGTTCTTTGTAGTACGCTGTGTTTCTTGGGATGTTTTATGCCATTTTAGTGGGAACTGGTACAATCTTCTGAGACTAGTATTTCATATAGTATTAAGCATCCCTGGTTTACTTGGCTTCTTATCTTTTTTATTTAGCAAATGTGTTTCTAAATATGTGTCATTGTATAATTTTATTTGCCAACAAATACTATGTAAAGAATCTTAAAATATTATGGTAAATTTTTCTAGTTTTACATTTAATTTAATTTTCACAAATACTATAGTTCAATGTGAAAATGCTTTTGGAATGATTGGCTATATTTATGCATCCATTATGGTGTTAATATTGGTATGGTATGTTAATATGTATTATTTCATCCAAAAACATGGGTTGCCTGTTTAAGTAACATATTTTTTTCATTTTATGTACAACTATAAATTAAGCTAGAGTTGCTTAGGCAAGAAAAAAAATCCTACCACAAATTGGATCATACAATTGACTCATTTTAAAAGCAACAATATGTATTATATGTGTTCTCTTAGTACATTATAGTATGCTCGTAGATGCAAAGTTCATAGAATTTAACACAACCCATCTTTAGTTTTGAAAGTTTAGTAAGGCAGACTTAACTTTTGGCTATTAAACAATTAACGAAGATATAAGCCAACAGTCAACTATTGCAAAAAGCAAAGCCTTAAAAACTTTTATTAAATTTACATTAAATAAAAGTTTATTAATTTCCTTTTTAGAGAAAACGCCCTCAACTCATCCAATACTTGGGAAATACTGTGTTTTTTATCCAAAGGCAAATAACATGAGGCTTTGCTGTAGTGCTGGAATTAATGGAGTTGGAGCCACAGTAGTGGTGGGGAGAGTTCCGAGTGAAAGGAAATTGCACACCTGGATGGACAGCTAGTTGAACATAGGAACTGAAGGCACACAGTATGTGAAAAATACTATAACGATTTAACTTTAGCAGTGGTTGGAAATGCTATTTATCAACATGGGAAATAGGAAAAGGAAAGATGTGTCAGGAAAAAAGAATATTTGTAGGAATGAATACAACAAAATATTTTTATATCCTTGTGAAGGTAATTATCAGGAAGGTACTGCTGGCAATACCTTCCTGAAATTCTGGTCCATTGGCTATGTGAGTAACTATTTCTCCATTCTATAACACAGTTGTATCTGTAAGTTTAGTACATATTTGTATCTTGTATTGTATTCTGTATGATCTAAGTCACTCTCGTCTCACCCTAAGATTGTAAGTATTCGGGCTGAAATGAGGTTTTATGCTTCCCTAACAGGCTCAGTGGTGCTATTGAAGTCCTCGTAGTGGCCTCAGTGATTACAACCACTACAGAGTCTTAGGAGAATTCCGTAGTTGATGATGCTACAATAGTAAGTGCATTGAAATATGCTGTCGTTCATGCATGCATGCATCCATCCATCATCCATCATTCATGTTGTGTGCAAAGTACTTTTGCTTTACAACTGAGCATAGAGCAGTTTTTATGTTTACTATGATTCTAGAGGCATAGAGCAGTTTTTATGTTTACTATGATTCTAGAGGCATAGAGCAGTTTTTATGTTTACTATGATTCTAGAGGGAGATGCCGCAGAAACCCTTACACGAATATTTCGCTTTCTTTTCAGAGATATTCATTATTTCAGATATCCTAATTATGTTTGCATTTCTGGAAGCAGGATCACTTTTAGTGAAGAGGGAGGGGTTCAGAGGAGTGATGAAATGGTTACAGAGAGAAGCAAGTGTGTATTATCCTAACTTGCCACTCTAGGCTGATCTCTGCCAAAGAAGTTGCCAGAAGTTGCCTGATTTTGATAGTCAGGTCTATCATTGCCCACTGTTATTTTGCTTGCTGTGGCATGCTGATGTAATTTGAGATCAAGAGCAGAGTGTAAGGTCAGAGTGCCACAATTTGTTTACCCTGACCCTTAGTGTGTGCCCATTTGAATCAGTTGCAGTCTTGTCAAGTCTTAGGTATTTCCTCTGCAAATGAGATAAAAGCCACAGTTAACATGCTCACCTAACAGATGAAGTGTCCAACACCATGTTTGGTGTGTAGTCTTAAACGTGCAATACCTGTTAGCAATGGGACAGTGAGTTATTATGAAAACCGATGGAACTCATCTTCCTTAGAGTTCTATTGGACATCAAGTACAAAACAGGTAA